AGGAGGGAAGCCATAGCTATGGTGGACTTGTTGTTGTTGTTGTTGTTGTTGTTGTTGAGTTGAGTCAGCATTAAGAGGGAACTTCGGATATTGATTCTGGTTCATCCATTTATTGTTATTATTATTATTGAGAGAAGAATAAGATTGGTGAAGAGAAGGAGGAGGAAGGTGGAGAGAGAAGGGGGGAATTGTCATTGGTCTTGCTGCTGCACTTCTTCTTCTTCTTCTTCTTTACCTCTCCTCTGGTCTCTATCTCTTTGCAAGTGCTTTCATTTCTTTCGCAATTGGGTGGCATTGTCTTTCATTGTGAATTTGCACTTGGGAAATGACCAGGATCGTAACAACTATATATATTTGTCCAAGCATGCCACTTCGGCGGCAGACAGTTGTGTGGGCATGGAGTGATAGAGATAGTCGTGACATGAGTGTGTTCACTGTGTTGTTTGGGAGAAATAGGAGTGCCAGTGCTGCTGTGCTTGTGGGCTGACTTGGAGGGCTCTCCAAGTCTTTTCGGACTATGCTGCCTCTGGTCGGTGCTTTCTTGCTGGTTGAACCTTCGGTGTTAGGTATGTTGTCTTCTGCCCTTTACCTCTGTTTTTATAGATTGAAAAACTATATATATTTGTCCAAGCATGCCACTTCGGCGGCAGACAGTTGTGTGGGCACTTCCCACTCAACCACACAAAAGTGGGGAACCTTGCACCTTCTATTATTTTTCTCATCTATACTTTCTTTGTTTATGGATGGTTTGTGATGGTACGAGGATGGAATGAGACAGAGAGCTTGGGGACATTGACTAACGCACACGCGCACACACAATCAGGTTTATGAATATTTTTCCTCTTTCTGGATGTTTTCAAAGTACTTTCTGTGTGTTTGAGTGAGCACATTTAAAACCACGAGTACCTTCCTCCGCTTGAAAATCAAATGCGGGGCTGTATACCGCCGCATTTTTCGGGGGTTCGGGTAGCGGAACGGAATGGCTGGCGCCACCAGCTAAAAGCAAGCCCGCAGGGCGAATTTAGGCTTCGCATCAATAGCTGAACAGGACTGGTGGTTTAAGAAGTGCTAAATAGTAGGTGACCTGTTGTTTGGAACTTTGGAGTGCCTGCAGGACTCTTAGGGGAGCCACTCTATTCATGATGTCTGTGTTGCGCATATGGTCTATGGGTGACGTCCATCGGAATGACTCCCTGGCTCAGCGGGTGGTGGGAACCAACAGTCTGTGGGGTTCACTCTTCTTGTGAGTAGGTGATGTGCCGCTTTGCTCCGGGTTGGATGTGTAAGCTGCCCTGTCTGCGCTCCGTCGCGGGCTTGCTGCCCATCCCGCTTGCTTCACATGTCGTCCCTTGCAAGCTCCTGTGTTCGCCGTGTGGTGTGACAGTGTTGATGGTGTTGCCTTGTGCTTCGCTGCTCTGCTGCCTCACCGCCCGTCCGCATGCCTTGCCTTCCGTGTCCATTGCTTGTGTGCCATGTAGTTTGGCTGCGTTATTGGTGTTGCCTCACCGCCCATCCGCATGCCTTGCCTTCCGCGTCCTTTGCTTGGGTGCCGTGTTGTTTGGCTGCATTGTTGGTGTTGCCTTGTGCTTCGCTGCACAGTTAGCTGCGTGTCTGCTTGCCCTGTTTTCCGTTGTGCAGTCATGTTGCCCCGGCAGCATTGCGTGGTCCATCGCTGAGTTGCTGCTCGCTGCTGTGTTCCGTTTGTGGACGGTCTGCTTCCAACAAGTGTCAAAGGGGTCATGACCCAAATCATCGATACGGGGATACCGCAGATTGTCGAGGCTCCTGATGACTGGATGCAACTTCGACAAAACAATCTTATCATCGTCAGTTTGATTTTTCCAGTTTTTCCTTTTTCTGGGACTTGTACTTTTTTCCGGTTTACGTGTTTTGTGTGCTTGTATGTCGTCTGCCCTCCCACTTCCACCATGCCCTCCAGCCTCTTCTTTCCTGCTGCCTGTCGTCCTGTGCTTTGTTGCCTCATGCCTTTGTGTGCCCACCCGCCTCCCCCTTGCCCTGCAGCCTTTGTCCTTCGCTGCCACATATCGTCCTGTGCTTCGTTGCCTCATGCCTTTGTGTGCCCACCTGCCTCCCCCATGCCCTCCAGCCTCTCTTCTTTGCTGCTGCCTGTCGTCCTGTGCTTTGTTGCCTCATGCCTTTGTGTGCCCACCCCCCTCCCCCTTGCCGTCCAGCCTGTGTCCTTCGCTGCCCCACGTCGTCACATGCCTTGTTTCCTTATGCCCTTTCCTTCACTGCCTTTTGTCTACCTTTTCCCTTGTTGCCTTGACGTATCTACCGTCTGCCCACCCGCCTTCCCCTTGCTCTCCAGCCTATGTGCCTTGCTGCTGCCTGTCGAGCAACGCCTAGTCGCTTACCGGCCTTGCCGTTCATTGTCTTCTGCTTGCTGCCTTATTGCCATGCGCGATTTATAAGGAACATACGTATTTGTATAAGGAAGATGACAAGACACACAGTCATATGTATTTATAACTTCTTTTGGCTAAGTATGATCAAGTGCACTGTATCTGCTCTGTGTATAAGCAAAAGCCTTTCTCGGCCTTTTGACTAAGTATGATCAAGTGCACTGTATCTGTTCCGATCTGTTTACTATCTGATCCGTGGTCCAACAGGCAATGAAAACAAAAAAAGAAAGAAAGCCTTTAAGATGTGCCAAATAGTCAGCATTTGTTTGTTTGTTTGTTTGGAGTGCCAGCCACTGTGCTGAGGAGGTCTATGTCAGTGTGTGCTCCCTGAGTGATGACGGATGTTCGGCGAAGCGACTTCCTTGCTCCAAGTGTGGTCTGTCTGAACCTACAGTCTGCTGAGGTTCTATTTGGGTAATTGGTGAAGCGACTTCCTTGCTCCGCCCCTGAGTAATGACAGACGTTCCGCGAAGCGACTTCCTTGCTGCCGTCCCTGAGTGATGACGGACGTTCGGCGAAGCAACTTCCTGAGCGTAAGCAGACGATGTTCTGTGTTGGTCCTTGCCGTATGAGTTGCCTGCGTCTTTTCTGTGCTGGTCATAGTTTGGCTGCCATCGTCCCGGCTTGCTGCCTTCCACCACTTACTACGCCCCAACGCGCAAGTACGAGCATTGGCACATTTCGGGTAATCGCACAAGCAACATGCAAGCAAGGCGAATCGGTTTTATAATAACTTTATTGCATTTTTCTGTAGGTCATATATTTACTTAAGCTGCATTTCTAATAGAATGTGACCGTGTGTCAGATGAGTACCATGCGAACAGGCGTTCGGCTTAGAATCGTTCAGCTACAAAGAGAACAGCAGTGCACCAACGCATCAATTCCAGACAAAAGCTAAGTTCATATAAGCCCCCTTTCTAGAGGGAATCACAACTGACTCATTGAAAAGGGCCAAAGCTCGACTAATCGAGGGAATCTTAACTTCTCGTTGAATAGTGCTAAAGCTCGACCAACCGTGGCGAGTAGAAGAAGGAATTCCTCTGGCCTCCAGATCTAGCACCTGATGAAGCATATTACACAATAACCTGACTGCATTAAAAAAAAAAAAAAAAAAAAAAAAAAAAAAAAAAAAAAAAAAAAAAAANNAGAGAGAGAGAGAGAGAGAGAGAGAGAGAGAGAGAGAGAGAGAGAGAGAGAGAGAGAGAGTTATGCCTGATTCCCGTTCTGCACCCCCTTTTGCTCTTTCCCCACCCTCCTCTCTGAAGCAGGCAAAGCTGCGGCGAACAACCATTAGTTCCTTTTTAATAAAGATAATATTAAAAGGACCTGACCATCACTGAAAAAAAGAAAAGAAAAAAGGTAAGGTGCCGCCAGCTCATGTAGCTGGTAGCCCTATTGTTTTGTCCACTTTCGCTTTTCTTTTCCCTTTTTTTATATTTTAAATGGAAAAAAAAACTTCAAAAAAGCCTTTAAAAAGGAAAGGAAGGTATCAGGTCCTACGCAAGCTACCATCTTTTCACCCGAATAGAACGCCCGGTCATTATAGTTGTATCTGGACTGAAAATTGCACCAGATACAGCTATAATGACCGGGCGTTCTATTCAGGTGAAGACTGTAGCAGACTTTTTAGTTCCTTGGTAACTTACCCTTCCTCAAGACCCATTGAGCAGGTGAGTCCAGGCAAGCTGCTACGGGTGCAACCTGCTATTGCCGAAGGTGTATTCGTCGAACCTGGTCCAGAAGGCGATGCATCCGATGCAAGTGTACTTGCGCTGGGATCAGCTGCAGTAGTTGGAAGAGAAGAGACGGGAGCAGAGGACAGGGGTGCTGGAGGGGCAGACACGGATGCACCAACGCTTGGAGCCGCCGTCAATACTTCAGCGAGTTTCACGGTGAATTTTCCGCTGTATGACAGAAAAGGAAAGAAGACAAAACAGGAAAGCCAGATTATTATTATCACTTTTATAATTTTATTATTATCATTATTATTATCATTATTATTATCATTATTATTATCATTATTATTATCATTATTATGATATCATTATATTATTATTATTATTATTATTATTATTATTATATTATATTATTATTATAATATTACTTTCTTTGATTATATAAGAATAACCAACTATTCATGCACAAGCCCTTCAGAAGCTTGGAACCACCGTCAATACTTCAGCGAGTTTCATGGTAAATTCTCCTCTGTATGACAGAAAGGAAAGAAGACAAAACAGGAAAGCCAGATTATTACTTTTATAATTTTATTATTACCATAAATATTATTATTATAATATTACTTTCTCTGATTCTATAAGAATAAGTTGAATAACCAACTATTCATGCACAAGCCTCCCCTGGGCATTCAAATTAGCACAATACACAGAAGAAAGTAATTAATAATTAACCAGCATGGCTGCCCTGTTATGGATGACGTCACGACACACACACCGGAGAAAAAAAAAAAAAAAAAAAAAAAAAAAAAAAAGCGTAAACAAAAAAAAGGATCATTTGAAAAAAAAAAAGTTAAGAAAACAAAAAAAAAACGGAAAAAAGGATGGCAGAATGGTCACTTACTCATTGTCGCCATGGAATTCAAAGCCAGTACTACCCGGCTGTGCATGCGCCCAGATCAGCCCACTAGTGCCATTCTCAGTGAAGTCAACGCCATCGATAGCCCGGGTGAACCTGCACACCCGCGACCGCCACAATGCCCCACCACATGCCCCAGACACAGAAGAGAATAAGGATATAAATTAGGCCAGTTGAACACAGGTTGGCCGTTTTTTTTTTTTTTTTTGGGGGGGGGGAGAGGAGCAGGGGAGTTGGGTAAGCCAGAGCAGAGCAGGGACAGCACAGAGCAGGGAGCAGCAGCAACTACCGTCTTCACCCGAATAGAACGCCCGGTCATTATCGTTGCATCCGGACTGACCTTACTCCGCCAAAAAAAAAAGGTCATCAATGGTCATCAATCATCGCCATCATCATCATCAATCATCCGCCAATAATAAATTGTCATCGATCATCTTCATCATTCATCATTCATGATCAATCGTCAAAGTCAGCCATCATTCATTATTTATCCCAATTCATTATCACCATCATCATTGCCATTCATGATGTTCGATCACCATCCTTCGCCATCATCACTCAGTCATCAATCACCATCAACATCATCAAAGCTGATCACTCATCATCCACCCACCCATTACCAATAGCAATCGTCATCATCATCATCAAGCATCCTCACGGACCGCTAGTGTTCATCATTCATTTCCATCAATCGTCCTCCTTCACCATTCATTGTTATCATTATTGTCATATCAACAACAACAACAACAACAACAACAACAACAACAACAACAACAACAACAACAACGACAACAACAACAACGACAACAACAACAACAACAACAACAACAACAGCACGAAGAAGAAGAAGAAGAAGAAGAAGAAGAAGAAGAAGAGGAAAACGAAGAGGAAAACGAAGAAGAAGACGAAGAAGAAGAAGAAGAAGAAGAAGAAGAAGAAGAAGCCTGGACACCCAGCCTGGTATCCTTCATATTTATTATTTTAATTATATTTAAAAAAAAACATCTCCTTTCTTTTTCATGATAGACAAACCTTCTTCTGTTACACCTACCGCAAAACAGTTACACCGTTGGAAGAGTTGATTGAAGGGTTGACGATGCTGAAGTCCTGCGTAGCGAGAATGCCCGTTTGCGATTTGGAGACGATTTTGTTAGTCGTGACAGTCCCAGTTGTCATGCCAAGGACACAATTTCCAGCCATTCTACCTCTTTGGTTCCAGCCTACGCTCATCCACGCCACTATTCCAGGAACTTGGAAACTCATCTCGACCATCTGCTTGTCATTCGCGCCGCTGCCAGCCGGTGGCCTGGACCACTGGAGTATTCGGCTGTTCGCACAAGGTTCACACAAGCACACAGTCGCGCACATACACGCACAACCACAAAGACACAGAAAGCGATCAGCTTCATCATTGCAATCAGACTCGTTTTCAAACACACTTTTCATGTATGTAAACAGCACGCAGCATACTGGCGACATGCGCCCACTCAAAACTCAGAGATATGGCTTTCAGATACGAGTTCACTCTCAATTGGCTATGGAGACTTCAGCGCCCAAACACCTCACTGTTCACATATACTGGATCACCCTGGATA